AACTATAAAGCGTTAGTCTTAATACGGATCTGCTTGCTTAGTATAAAATAATACAATAAGGGGACTTTAGTAAATCGCTTCTTTAGACCGTTAAAAGCGGCTTGTGTCTTGTTAGTCTATTTGAATTCTCTAGACAGGTTGGCCTTGGTTTTAGTAAGCTTAGTTAGGGGTATTATATACCGTAAATAGCTCTTAATAAAGCGGCGGTAGAAATTAGCGAAGCCGAGGAACGATTAAAGCTCCTTAATAGACGTAGGAACAGGCTATTTAGTAATTGTTTTAATCCGATTAGGATTAGCCTTAATACTATTAGTTAATACGATAAAACTAAGGAAGGCTACCTCCTTAGTAGCGAAGGTGCATTTAGAAGGCTTGTAATATAGTCTATAGGCTCGTAGGCGGTCGAGGACCTTACGTACTATAGCCTAGTACTCCGCAATATTAGGTAAGTATATATAAACTAGGATGTTATCTAGGCAAACTATATAGAGGTAATCTAATAGGCCTAATAGGGCCCGATTAATATAGGACTAGAATATAGTAGGGGCATTAGCTAGCCTAAATAGCATAACTAAGTACTTAGAATAGCTATAGCGAGTGCGGAAGGCCGTCTTCTATTCGTCGCCCTTGCGAATGCAGATACGATAGTACGTATCCTTAATATCTAGTATAGTGTTAAAGTGGGCCCTAGAAAGGCGATCGAGGGTCTTATTAATAAGCGGAAGTAGACAGCGGTCTTTAATAGTAATAGCATTAAGTCTACGGTAATTAACGCATAACCGTAGGCTACTATCCTTCTTTAGAACAAACAGGATTAGTATACTAGTAGGGCTGTTACTATACCGAATGCGGCTATTAGCTAGGTTTTCCTCTAGGTACTTACGCAATATAGTAAGCTCTCGCTTACTAAGGTTATAGAGGGGGCTAAAAGGAACCTCTTTGCCCTCTATAATATTAATCTTGTAATCCGTCTCCTTAAACATAGGCAATGTCGATGCTAGGTAGTGTTTGAATACATTAATATAGGTTTCTCGAATAGGCACTAGTATACGAGAGAGCTAATTAGGGTCTATACTATTAGGGGGTACAGGTTTATCGTTATCTCTACCGAGAAGATTAGCTATCGGATTAGCTAAGGCAGGTATTAGGTTGCTAATAAATAGGACCCTAATATTATTAGGGCACTCGCTAACATTAATGTGTTTAATATCCTCTTTCCTAGCGATTCTAAATCGCTACTTCTAGAGGCCTAGGTCTATAGCTACAGCGTAGTACTTAAGAACAGGGTTGCTAATAATAATAGTAGCTCCCCTATATAGGTTATCTATATCTACTGCGTAGGTAGTAAAGTCTAGTAGGCGTTTATTTCCGAGGTCGTCCTTTAGAACTATAGGAACATAGTAGGCCCTATAGGTTAAGTGCCGAGCGTTATTAAACTAAGCAAGGGTTAGTAGGTTAGTCCTCGGCAGTTGTCGAAGGTCTAATTGCTTAGCTAAGCGATAGCTAATAAGGGCACTAACTGAATTTCCTAGATCTAGTATAACCTTAGTTTAATAGTTAGTGCCCTTCGTGTCCTATATAAGGTAGGAGCGTATTATAGCTAGCACAATGTCGATAGTCTTATGCCGTACGAGGCTAATAGTTAGTACGGCGCTTACTCTTTTTTCGAAGGTTAGCCTATAGGGGTAGCGTTAGCCGCTAAGAGGTACTTTCGGTGTTTAGTAGAAGTACGGTTAATTCGGGCCTAGTCCTTAGGTTTGTCGTATTAGCCTAGTAGATAGCTAGTGCTATTACAATTAAAGCACTTCAACCCGGTTAGTAGACTGCCGTAGCTGTTATTATTATTAGTAGAACGGTTAGTATTATAGGGATACGAGCCCCTTCTACGGCCCCTATCGCGGCCTCCTCTATATAGCCGTCGGCTACGGCCTCTTCTACGGTCGTTACTATTCCTATTATTAGCATTATTGTTATAGTAGGAACCTTAGTTTCCTCCGCGGCTACGGTTACTACAGTTAGTACTAGCTAGTCGGATCCTCGATTCTAGTCGTTATTAGAGCTAAACAGCCCGTTCGGCTGTTTCTACTTCGACTATAAATTGAATGCGCGTTAGATTGGCTTGCTCGAATATACGGCGACGGTCTAATTCGAGGATAAGCTCCTATCTAAGTTTTAGGCGTATCTCGGAGATCTATATAGAATTAGTCTTAGGCGGAAGGTCGTTTTTAAGGGTTTTTAAATAGGCCTTAAATAAACGAGCCGATTAATTAGTCTTTTGTTTAGCCCGAAGGTACTAGTCCTAAGCGTGTTGCTGCCTTAGTATAGGGTTTCTAAGGGTGTCTAGTATAATAGTCTTATAGGTTTGCTACTAAACAGCGGTCTGATTAGTAAGGGAGTCAAAGTAGTTATCCTAGGTGCGTTTTAGGTCGCTATTAATGTATTACATAGCGTAGACGACTAATAAGTAGTTATCTAGCAGCGCTCTTAGTATATTGCGCTAGTTAAGCTCGCAGTTACGAATGTAGTTATTGTATTACTTCCGACTAGAGCTATTAAATACGGTACAGTCCTTAAGTTTAGTATCCTTCTTTTAGACTAAAACGGGTAGTAAAGAAGGCCCTACTATCGCCTCGGTATTAGTTATTAGGGCCTCCTAAAGGCGGCGAAGCTCGAGGAGGTTATCCTTTAGCTACTACTCTTAATATAAGGCAGTAAGCCTATTTTAAGTGGCTTCTTAAAGTCTCCCTACTAGTTAGGGGCTAAAGGCTAGCTAGCTATATCGTCGATTAATAATATTGTTAAGAATGTCGTTAACAGGTAATTCTAGATTATTACCTAGAATTGTAGGTTCTTCTTTAATAGGCTCTCCGGCAGGCTCTTTAGTAGGAGGCACTTTAGTAGGCACTTTAGCGGGAACTATGCTACTAGCGTTGTTATTGCTAGCGCTACTAGCGGCGGTACGGTTGTTGTTTCGTAATAAGCCGGCTATTGTAATAGGGGGTAACACTAATAATGTATTATTAGCCCCTAAGATACGGATATAGCGGAATTAGTAGATATTAGTCTAGTACGATTGACTTAGTATAATAGGCCGTATAGAAGGCCTTGCTTAATAATTAGTACGGTTGTTTCGATAGAATAGTACGTATAGGTCCCGTTCTTCGGGCGCAATATAGTTAGATTAGTCTTGTTCGTAGCTATACCGCTAAAAGCTTGAAATAAGGACTATCTAGCTACTACCCTTAAAGGGTAGATCGAATACTATATAAGAAGGGTATATTAGCAGGTAGATAGGGTAGTAGTAGGTATAGGTAGTATTCGATAAGGAGCTAGAAGGAGAGGGAGGAAGGTAGGCAAGTTAGCCTATTACTAAGCGCTAAGCCCTGCCTAAGGCACTAAGACCCTAGCTTTACTTAGCCTAGTTATATACTAATTACGTATAGCCTCTTTAGCCCTAATATTACGAAACTATTACCTGCATTTAATTAATCTCGGCTACGGTTCTTACTATATATACCTCCTTATTAATCGCCTTATAACTAGCAAGTACGCGCTAGTAGCTATTCGAGAGATATACGGCGATGTCCTTATATACGTTAAATACGCTAAAGACTACGGAAACTTTACTTAGTAGCTCGTTAAACTCGTAGAAGTCTCTAGACTCGAATTCGTAAGCTAGAAGCTACTAGGTAAGACTCGCTAGTAAGGCAAGTTTAATATAGTTAACGGACTTATCTATAATATACCGGTCTGTTAGCGTATTGCCTTTAGCGACGAGAAGGTCCTCGCTTATAGAGCGGCGCCTATAGAACGTAAGGCATAGTATAAGATTAAATCCTTGTTTTACAACCCTTCCTTCTAGTAGAGCGCTATTTACCTTCGCGACTTCCTTAAGCCCTTCCTTTAGGTTACTATTACGCTCGAGAGCGATAAGGTTAAGCTTAGTTACGTCTTTGCTAACTATAAGTAGCTAATAGAGAAGACGTACGACAATTAGCTCGCTCTAGCCGCCGAGATCTAAGATACTATATTAGACCGCTTCGATAAGGTATACTATCCGCTAATACTTATTGCCTATCTCTCTAACCCTTAGTAACGCGAGAGCCGACCGATTAGGATTAAGAACGACGAGTTAATAGCTTTTTAAGAGTAGCTTCTATACGATTATTACTATAGCGATAACGACCGAGTTTCGATACTTCTAGCTTAGCTCTTACTTCTTAAGCAACGCGAAGGCCCCTTCGGCGATACTATTAAGTAGAATAGCTATAAGTCGCTTACTATCCTTTAGTAGTAGCAAACCTACTAGCTAGACGAGATAGTAGACCTATCTATACTATATATACTGTCGCTCTCGCTAGCTCTAATAACTAGTATTGCTAAGCGTAACTAGTCGGCTTATAACTTTATTTATAACCTCTGCTATAACCGCCTATCTTACTATACTATTAATAAGCTCGTATACCTCTTCTAGAACCTCCGGTTAAAGTATAGGTAGAATAATAACTATCTTAGTACCGACGGTAGTCTTAACGACGAGATTAACGAGCTCGAATAGCGCGCACTATTATATACGCTTTGTATTACCTTCTTAACGCTTATTTACCCTAGTTTAACTATATAGGACTTCTAATAGGAACGGATATACTGTTCTTTACCTTCTATATGCAAAATCTTATACAATTAGTAATCTACGTTATACCCACGCCTATACATAGTCCGCTGCTATCCACACGGCGTACCGCTGTATAAGTTTGAAAATCCATATGGCCACCCATCGCTACTGCCGCGTAGTTAGCCTATCTATCTACAAGTCTCTATTAGTTAGCATCGTCACGCCGGCCAAAGAGCAAGGCTGTCTAGGCCTTGATCTTGTAATTGATGGAGAACGAAGCAAGAACGACGCCGGGCTGTTCAAGATCCCGCCATGTGCAAACGCCTCGCTAAACCGCGATCATCAAATGTAAAAGCATAGACCGAAAGCCATCAATAATGTCATTTCACTTTTCGAAGCTGTTCCATAGAACCGTAGCGATCTCAAATGGAGTACCTTCAGCCAGTTCGCGCTGGAATTCTCTGGTCTGAGGTGCTCCTGCGAAGCTCACTTCGCGCTTTGCGCGCTGTCGCTCGCTGCCGCCGCCAGCAAACGAGACACTGCTCTGTGCCGTTCTTTTGAGAGGCTCGGCTGCTTTTGGCGGCGATGCCGACTTGGACAGACTGCTTGCCTTCTGTGTTGCAGGGAGCTGAACGGCGCTCTTACTCGACGCAAGCCCGGCTGCGCTCGGCTTCTGTGGCGAGGAACGCTGGCTCAATTTGCTGCCCTTGCATTGCTTCAATCGCGCAATTGCTTCGCCGAGTGGATCCCGAAACTTCTGAACTACTCTGAGCTCGGTGTTAACAGCTCTGAATCGTCCTTGGAAGATTTCTGGACCCATACCCAAGCCATTGTTGACTAGGCTGCGATTGCTACTGCCGAGAGTTGTGCTGCTCATGAAAGATTTGAGGGTCTCATTGCGCCGGTCATATTGCCACGCCGGAAGATGTGGTTTCGTATCAGTCCTGGACTCCATATCGGCGAGGGCCTTCTCTTGTAATAATCGTAGTTCCGTTCGTGATCGGCCAGTGGCTGGAGTTGTGGCTCCAGATGAGCCTGAAACCGTTGATCCCGGGCTGATAAGCCCGACCTGAAAGCCTTTCTCGTGGTGTTGAGACAGATATGAGTGGCCCTCCTCCGGCGTGTGGAAGCCGCCCTTGTTCGGGGTGCCAACAGCAGTGTTGACGCCGCTGTCGCCAGAAGGATGCGAAGCACTCGGCATGAATCTTGAGACCAGCTCGTCTTGATCCTCGTCTGCAGCTCCGTCTCCAATATTGGACCTGGAAGACTGCATCGAAGGGGCTGGCGAGCCACGTTGGCTGTGCTTGTCGTCCAATGCGCTCACATTGCTTAGAACAGCTGGTCCAGCCAGTTTTTGACTGCTCAAAAGACGGCGAGCTGCTGGGTTGGCGTAGTCTTTGGCTTGAGAACTTTTTGGAGCTTCTCCTGCGGGTTGGTCTTTCGCTCTGGCAAATGGAATTTGAGGGACAGTCTTGGAAATGGCGGCCGTGGGAGGTGTTTGCTCAACGGGATGAGAATGAGGTTCTCGCACTTGATGTGGTTGTGTCTGAGTCAGTGCCATTTCATCACGCACAGGTTCATGACGTTCTGTAAGTCGTCCATCATTTTGTGGAGGCTTTTGAGGTGAGCGCCGCACATCTTCCTTCGGCTTTAAGGCCTCTGCTTTCCTAACACGAGCCATGGAACGAGGGCTTGGGGGCTCATCCTCGTCGCTGTCGCTGCTAGCATTGACCTCTGCCGTAGATTTCTGCTGCGTGGTTTCGTTCCTTTGCATCTGCTCCGAGAGCTTCATGCCTAGAAGCTGGCCCGGGGTCTGCTTCTCGACCGTGCGCTCCACATTCATGCTGGCCCTCCGCGAATTGTTGGCTGTGTTCTGGCGCGTACTGTAGGGACTGGCACTGGCACTCTCTTCCGTCCACTCGTCCTCTTGCAGGCCGCTGCCTTCCATTTCTGGCACTTCCTCTTGATCGCTCGAGTCCACACTACCGACTGCAAAGCCGACCTTTTTGTTGGATGCTCTTCTGGCATATTCTGGCTGTTGAGTTTGCCTCTCTTCTTGCGACCTTCGTCGTGGCTCTGCCTGCCGTACATTCAACTCCTGTCCAGCTCCAGCGATCTCGGCAGACTTGGGACGTTTGCTCTTTCCCTTCAGGCCTGGCGACGGAGGGGCTCGGTGAGCTGTGGAGGCCATGGCCACTAAATTCCTGCCGGATCCAAGCCTGGTCAGCTGTCCGTGTGAGAGGTTCTTCTTGAGCTTCGCGTGCGAGGTATTGCGAGGCAACTGGTACGCTGTCAAGTTCCTCTTCATCTGCGGTCGTGACTCGTCCAGGCTGCCAGGCAGGCGTATCTCGGTGTCGCCTTCGTGCGAGCGTTGTCGCGAGTGCTTGCGCCCATCATCGCCGGCCTGGGCCTGGGCCTGGACGTTCTGCGCCTGGCGGTTGAGCTTGGCGAGGTTGCGCGCGCTGCTGTGGTTGCGCGGGAGGACGATCTTGGTGTGGCGTGATTTGACCCGGAGTGGGTGGTCCGATCCAGGACTGACCACGTCTTTGAGGCGTACAGACGACTGCGACGATTGGGACGACTGTCGTTTCATCAAGCTCGGCCTCGGCGTAGCTGAAGCTGAAGCTGCACCTGACGCTGCACCTGATGCTGGATTGGGGTCTGAGGTGTGATTGCTCGCCGGCAAGCCGCTGGTGGCATGACGTGGGGAGGTGGCATTATGGTGTGGTGATGGAGATGGCATTGCTGTTTGGTGAAACTGGACGCGGCGGTGGCGGCGGCCGAGGCAGATTGGTGGAGCGATCTCACACCTCGCGTGGCAACCGCATACCTCTCTCTGTATGCAACAATCAATGGGGCCTTCAGACACGTGCGGTGTTTCAGCCAGCATGGATCATTGTTTGTCACTCTCGAATCTCAACTCCTTTCGTAGAGATCCCGCACTACTGGGGGGGATGGGGTGGGGTGGGGGCAACTTCGGCTTGAAGCTGGAGCCGACCACAGCTGCTACCAAAGCTTCACTATCGTTTTCATCTTCCAAGTTCCACCTTGCATTCTATTCACATGCTGCACATCAAAGACAGCTCGTGCGCATTGGAGTCTCCGCATTGAGTAACCAACCCACGAGCACTGTTATGCCCGTCGATTACACTTTGTCTCAGCAGCTCGCGAACTGCGAGCCAACCATGCATACATCTACTCCTCGTCTATTTATGAGCTTTCATAGAGATACATATCGATCGCCCACTTTGTAGTTCTTCTTCACATTCTTTCCTGCTCTGCGAATAGTTGTTGAATGCGTGCCATATGGCTGCCGTTCTCATGAACTCGTCTCATCATCGTAAGTCGTTATGTGTTCTTTCCATAATGATCAATGTTTACATCCCGGATGCTTGATTTTCCAGAAAACTCACGAGTAGCTACCTTCGTTCATACGCTTGGAATCCCATTCCAGCATCCACGAATGTACAGCTTGCACGAGTTCTGCTTGGACGTCAACAATTCTGGGAGGTGGCAGTTCTGCTGTCGTTTGGTTCGGAAATAGTCCGTTCTCATCCCAGTGGTGAACAGCCTCTGAGATCAGGATGAAAGGCTCTGACACATTACTGCTGCGGTCCTTCGCGCCAAATCTGAATACCCAATGAGCTTGACCTCGTCAAAGAGACTTCGTCTGTACTTACTCAAATGCATGTGGCGTGGCCGGCTTCCACGGATCCCAATCACCATCGACTATAGCAAGCCGAGGATACGAAATGTCGTATCCACCATATTTATTGATGACTTCCAAATTAGGGGGCTCGGTGATATTGAAGGCCATTCGGCATATAAGGCTTCGATATTCCAGATCCAAAGTCCTTGAAATCAGTGGTAGCTCACCCTTGGGAGTGTTTCCAGTCTGCAGGTAGCCCCATTCTGTGCAATACTGATACGGCCAGCTCTTCCAATAGGCATCTTCGATGGAAGTGGCCGAAGTGTAAGTCTTGTTGTGATCGCTGCCAAAGCATTCATCTTGAGTCATATTCTGGCTTGCACAGTCGTCAACTACGGTCAGGTTGAAGTAGCCGATAGCGTTGAGCATGGAACCGACAAGGATTTCATTCGGCTCGTGACGTCCGCCTCGTTGTATAAGACCAGTCACACTTGAACGAAGAGAATCAGTGCCCGGATATAGCAAATCTGTAGACGTAATATTATCGCAGTAATGGTAGAATTCGTTGGAACTAATGGCCGGATCCTTCAAGTTTGTTAGATTCACCACTAGTAAAGATTCGCATTACGTACCCAGTTTAGCGATTGCCAATAGGAAAGTGGGCTGGTCAGAACGTCTGCGAAGCCAGTGAGATATGTAACGTTCTCAAACCCGAAAACACTCTTGAGCTCCGTAGGAAGATTAGTGTCGCTCTTGTCGATCAAAATGCTGTCAATAACATCTATAAGCAGCCTCTGCGCGGCAATGCAATCTTGAGGAGCTTTCTCAGCAATCGGCCTGAAAGTGAAGGGTACGAGGGTCAGCCTGTGCGTCAAATAGAGAGATAGTCGGCCGTAAAAGCCAAGGCCGAGACCAGCATCCTATGTCTAAGACGGCGGCTCCAGATGTTGGCACTGAGCGGAGTCATGCCTTGCATCTTATGATATACTTACTGGAAATACTGCCAATAATCCCAGATGGCTTTGGTCACACCGGAACTGGAAATCGATCCCCAGAATACGTCGGGATATTGGAGACGAAGGAAGGCACTGAAAGCGCCCGCGTAAGAACCGCCGTAAGATATCCAAGCTGTGGTCTTGGATGTTAAATCGCCGTGTTCTTCGAGACCGGGAAACTTGATGTTCTGCGCAAAGTATGCTTCATCGGCCATTGCTTGGGCTGTGGTGAGAAACCTGAAGTTATGCGTTGATAAGTCTGGGACAGGCCAAGATGTGCCGTAGTACCGATGTTCCAGGATTACTCCAATGCCATTAGTGGCGCGAGTGATGATTGATACAATGCCTTGAGAGCGGCAGGCCGACAGTCAGCCTATGCCCTCTGCAGACAGTATATGCACGCGATACCTTTCTGCAAAAATGGCAGTCGCCCCACGCCAGAAGTCTCCCCAGACTGCAGCACGAAGACGGGACCGCCCTTCTTGTAATGCGATGCATCGAACCAGTATCGCAAGGGAAAGGTGGCGTTGCTGTGCGGCTCGTATTGCGATTCATTGTGGAAATGGTCAACTGGCACGGAGAAGTTGTAGGCGGGATACAGAAGCTTAGGATTGGTGTCGTGTTGCTTGCTCAGCAACGACTTCTGCGAGTGTGTGGAGGACTTGAGGGCCAGAGATGAGGTGAATGCATGTGCGGACGAGCAGAGCAGCAGGCCAAGGCCAAGCCAGCTTTGCAACGGCGCCATGTTGTCAGTGTGCGCGTCAGTCAGAGGCCGACTCAGCGTTGCGTTGTCGCTTGATGATCGAGAGCATGAAGGACGGCGCTGATGTGACAGTGAGTGGTGGTGCAATAATCAAGACCTGGCCCGTAGCTCGATCAGTACAGCCGGGAAAGGAAGGTGGGTTTAGAACTACTGTAACGTTAGGCCTGTGTCATAGGCAACGGGCAAGCACTGCAACCTCAGGCTAGGGAACCTCCGTTAGGGAACCTCCGTTAGGGAACCCGGCTTGTTCTGCAGTATAGTATCTATCATATCACAAGGATGCGATCTCCAAGACCGAATGATATCGAATGCATCTGTGCATCTGTGCCAAGAAGTGCACATGTCTGGCTGGCAGTGATACAAGTGCGGAGATCATAGCAGGATGCATGTGCCTACCTACAGAAGTGGCAATGGCAATGGCAATGGCAATGGCAACAGCAACAGCAACGCAAGGCTGACAGCTGGCATGCTGTGCTGTGCTGTGCTGTGCTGTGCTGTGCTGCTGTGCCCACCTCACTACTGCCTGACCTGACCCACGGCCAAATGTCGGCAGATTTGGGTTGGTTGGCTGGCTGGCTGGCAGCTCTGAGCTTATCTACGCTACCTTACGTTACTGCTGCTCGTCAAGTGTACACAGACATTATTGGCGCTCGAGAAGGGACCATGATCAGACGCCATCGCCATTGTGCACCAATATCCCGACGACTGATGACTGCGTCGAAATCGTAATGTCGCGCGTCGGCAGCCCGGACGCTGCGTCGTTGATGTCTGCCTTCTCCTCCCGCCCAGCGACCCTCCAATCCATCCGGCACACCCACGTCTTCAGTCTCGATACATTCAGTAGCAAGGACTTCATTGTCAAGGACTTTGTAGAGTCACTGTCGGATGCTGCCGTTCCTGCCCGAAGGTCCGCGCCTACCTCTGCGGCCGCGCAGTCGAGCCAGGCATTCGACCCCAAGCCTCTGATCCGGACCTTCGAACATGCGCTGAATAGGCTGAAGACGCTGAGCGAGGATCTTCAGGAGCGTGAGAATGACTTAGGCGCCGGCGTTCGGAGGGCCGAGAACCAGCACAATACCAATATCAAGTCGCGAGAGCAGGAGCTGGAGCGTGCCATCGCATCCTTCCACCGTCTGGAGAGGACGCTGGATGGTGACGGCGATGCTGGCGGAAACGCTGCTATGCGCATTGGTGAGCGCTTAGAAGAGCTGGACAGGCAACGGCAGCGCGCTCAGGACGCCAAGTTCATTCTCCAGTGCTGGCTGGAAGTCAGCGAGCGAGGCGACTTGTCGAGTCTTGATGATGTTCGTAAGACGGGTGGCGGCGAGGGCAAGGTTCGTTGTGCGCACATAGCCCGTCAGTTGCTCAAGATATCGCAACGGCTGCATCGAGGCATCGAGGCGCAGAACGGAACAGCGCCCAAAACAAATGGATATCACATCGCAAACGGCATCAATGGCAGCAACGAAACCGATTCTCCTACGGGTAGCATACGAAGAGGCAGAAATGGCCATCAACCGCGAGAAATAATAGAAAAGTTCCTGGAGATGTTGGAGAAGGACTTATTGAAATCATTCGACGAGTTTTATCGAAGGCAGAACTTCGATGGTATGAGGGAGTGTGCGGTAGCGCTCCAGGATTTTGGCGATGGCAATTCTGTCATATCACTTTTCGTCAATCAACACCAATTTTTCATCGACAGATCCCAGCTCGTCACAGAGGAGTTAGTGGTCGACAACGATACATGGGAGAGACTGGCAGATCCAGACACAGAACCACCGGGTGTAGAACCAAGCTTGCAGTCCCTTATTGACGAGGTCAAAGTGGTCGTCCAGGAGGAAAGCTTCATCATCAAGCGTGCGTTTCCTTATTACGAAGAAGTTCTCGCCCGCTTTCTGCAGCGAGTCTTTCAACAGTCCATCCAGCAACGGCTGGAGATGGTCCTTAATAAAGCCGACAGCATCTCCTCGCTGGCATTCCTTCGCTCCTTGCAAGCCTCTAGATCTTACATCGCAGCTTTGGTGGAAGATCTCAAAGCGCATGGACTCACAGATCACCCGGAGCCAGTCTCATCGGTCAGTGCGGCCGTCCTCGACCAGCAACTTGACGAGCTCTTCGTGCCATACTTCACGGGCACCAGTTATATTGAGCGGGAAAAGCGCAATCTCGGCGAGCTCTTTGAGGGTCTGCTGTTCAAATTCACGCTTTATCATTCTCGACGACGCAAGGTCTCTGTTCAAACGACTACTTACTTGGGTGCCATTTCTGCTCGTAGCAAGGAGTTCATCAGCAGCGCTCGCGATGCATACTCTGAGCGACTAGACAGTGCGGACTTGCAGCCTGGTCAAAAAGCCATGCTCATGCGCATCGCCGGCCTTCACCATGCAAAGGATCATGCGGCGCCTCATGACGTGGACGTCACCGATGAAGACGGACAGCTCAGTTTGCCATTCACCAAACGAATGCTCAAGTGGCTGGCAGAAGGTGTTGGTCGGGGACTGGAGTTGGCTGGTGGAGGCAACGAAACCCCAAAGGAAATTCGCGAACTCCTTCACCTTTTGATCACGCACATGGGCGAGATCTACCTAGAGACTGCGCTGGATGCCGCTATCGACTCAGCCACTGCGGCGGAAACGAACACCAAGACGGAGCCTGATTTGAGCTACATCACTGACCTCCGGACTGCGGTCAGCGTGCTGCATCTCATGCTTACGACAATACAGATGCTGCTCCTTCCTTTGGCAGCGAGCAATCTTACCATCCGCAGGGACCTGGAGAAACAGACCAACAACTTTGTTGACAGAATGGAAAGCAAAATTGATGCTGTTCTGCAAAAGACAATAGACGTAGCAATCTCATGGACTCAGCGACTCCTCTCGAATCAACGAAAGACAGACTTTAGGCCCAAGGACGATGCTACCTTACAGCTGGACCAACTCCAGACGTCTACGTGTCAGTCAATTTACACATTCCTCAACCGCCTTCACTCGCGAGCAAAGGCGTCTTTGTCTGGACGCGTCCTGGATGCTTTCTCTCTAGAGCTAGCGATCGGCCTCCGATCACTTCTTTTGACGCACTTCAAGTCTTACCCGGTGTCGCTTACTGGAGCCCTCGTCGTCTCAAAGGACATTACAAAGTATATCGAGCTTTTGCGCTCGTGGGATCTACCTCCATCATTCCAACCAAGTCTGGAAGTCCTAACAGAAATTGCCAACCTCTTTGTCATCGGACCTGACGCGCTCAGAGATCGACTTCGGAACTTTGGTGCGGGCGCAGGCTCTCTGCAAGGCGTTGAGAAAGCCGATCTTAGACCGTACATCATGAGGCGAGAAGACAGCGGCAGTGTCGGCGTTCAAGCAGTGCTGAATCAGATGTAGCGAGCATGATTGTATCGTGCCATGCAGACGAGTACGGCACGAGACGGCGATGGCTTGGCATAATCAGTTCCATTTCAATTCCGTGGACCGTGCCAACCCACGTCGCGCATCTGTTTCACATTGCAGACATCATTCGATCTCACAGGCGGAGTGTGATGTGTGATGCATCATAAATCATATTTGCGTGCAAGTCTGCAAGAATTGATTGGCAGCCGTTGCATCCCTCAATCCTGGAAGGAAGAAGCTTTCGTGGCGCGTCGAAGATCCTAGCGCGTCGCCAAGCTCGAGACTTGAAATGATGATAGCCTTGACGCAGAAGCACTCCTTCGATATAGACGGAACGAGCCACTGTGTTGGCAGTCTAATGTCTTGTAGACAAGTAGACTGACTGTTCATGACATAAATTCATACTACGCAAAAGGAGATGGAAAATGCACGCGCTCCTCTGTGCCACGTAGACGCGAACGCTCGAGTAAACAAAGGCCCAGTGCAGGAATCTTTGAAGCGCTACAAGCAACGGCAAGACGAACTCGAAAGTACAACGAATGCGGGGCTGGCAGAGCTGCGAGACAAGCAAGCAGAACTAAGCGCCTCGTTGCAAGATCATGCAACGCTCATTCGAGGCGTTCAAGACAGCATCGCCAGATGCACAGATCCTACTCCATGGCTTGCTGAACTGCAACAGCTCGCCAGCAATCACAATGCGATGGACGATTTTCGACAACGCATAGCCCGTCTTGAGTCCATCGCTCCGCCCGCACCCATCAGCTCGATGCTTCAGTTCGACGCTCGTCTTCGAGCATTGGAGAGCTCAAGGAACTTTTCTGAGCTGTCAGAACATTTGAAACGCTGCAACGAACGGCTTACGATGATCGAGGCTCGTCACCCTGACCCGAGTACATGGTTCAGACTCACGGCCATCAACGGCCTCGTCGAAGAGCTCCAGAACCGTGTCAACCATATGGAAGAGCACAGGAACCTCGCCCCGTGTGCTGAGCAGATCAGCCAATTGGAAATTGACATCGTAGATGACAGACGACATCGGCTCAATGACATCGCAGAGCTGAGTCAAGACATCGTGCAACTGACTGCATGCTCGGGACCGCAACTACCACGGAGCTCTATTCGCGACGACATTGAAGCTTTGCGCAAGCGCATTGTTGCGGAGGAGGCGCAACCTCGTGATATCATGGCTGCGATCAAATTACTAGAACATTTACGACACAGTGAGGTTGAAATTAGCGACACAATCACTCTTGCACCGCAGCAGGTGCCATGCCAGTCTATCGATTCTGGCCGGCGAGGGTCTCTGGCCGGTGAGATGCCTACGACCAGGGCATCGAGGGTCTCGAAGCGCTCCAGAACGACACCTCCAACGCCTGCAATGAGCTTGATGCGTACACCAAGCGAAATAAGGCCAGCTGAGAAGCGCAAGTCACTCAACACGTCTTCATTTAATGCCATTGGCGAAGGCAAGCGGCGAAGAAGTGGGCGAGAGCGCAAGCCGAAGAAGCACGCCTCGGGTGTTGTCGATTGGACGCAGATGACTTAGGTGTACTGACGGGAGACAGTCTTTCTTGTAGGAGAGCATTGGTTCTATCCCTTTGAAAACTCGACGGCTGAGATCGTTCATGCACGAACCCTAGCACCGCAAGGGTGTGCAGAAAGCGCTACACTGTATTTAGCACTGTAGGTCTTTCGTCGGCTATGCTTCTATAGGGAATAGCGTATGTCTAAGCCCTTGTCTAAGGTTCCTTCTTCCGCACTCGGCGGCTCTTTTACTCGTTATCTACTCGATTGACTTTTAAGGCTCGAAGGCTAATAACCTAGCTCTTTTATATAATAGCTTCTTCTTCTTATTCTTAGCAAGCTAATAGCGCTATATTCGATAAGGACGATAGATACTAGTCCGATATTAACGACAATACTATATATAATATAGGTACGCTTAGCGTAGAACCGAAAGAGGAAATAGACGAGATTAACTCGTAAGAGATAGTCGCTAGTTATAAGGCGATTAGAGTAGCTTATAGTATAGAATACAAGCCTCGAGGCCGAGATAACGAGCTAGTTATTACTAGCGATAGTATTAATAGCGTATCGACCGAAGGTAGGAATACTAAGTTACTAGATATTAGTAATCTAGTATAAGTACCGGACTAGTCGAGGTTTATAGATAGAGTAAGGTACGTGCCTTTATAAGGTACTTATTACTAGCTAGAGGTCTATTTACTACTAGATAAGGTATTCTTCGAGGGCGTAGATTACTATAGTAAGTCCTTCGAGAAGTTAACTTCTAAGGACGTATTCGATATACTAAAGCGCTATTTCTAGCTACTATAGGTTAATATTAGGGCTAAAGAGGCTATACGTAATTAGTATATAACTAGGCTAAGTAAAGCTAGGGTCTTAGTACCTTAGGCAGGGCTTAGCGCTTAGCGTTAGGCTAACTAGCCTGCCTTCCTCCTTCTTCTCCTAGATCTCTATCGAATACTACTTGTACCTACTACTACCCTATCTACCTACTAATATAACCCTTCTTATATAGTATTCGATCTACCCTTTAAGGGCAGTAGCTAGATAGTCCTTATTTTAAGCTTTTAGCGGTATAGCTACGAAAACTATCGATTTAACTATATTATACCCGAAGAACGGGACCTATACGTACTATTCTATTAAACAACCGTACTAATTATTAAGTAAGGCCTTCTATACGGCCTATTATACTAAGTTAATCGCACTAAGCCGATACCTACTAATTCCGCTATATCCGTACTATAAGGGGCTATAATATATTATTAGTCCTACCCCTTATTATAATAGCCGGCTTATTACGAAACAATAATAACCGTAGCGCCGCTAGTAGCGCTAGCAATAACAATACTAGTAGTATAGTACCTACTAAAGTACCTACTAAAGTACCTACTAAAGCACCTACTAAAGAGCCTGCTACTAGGCCTACCGAAGAACTTATAGTTCTAGGTAACGACCTAGAGTTACCTGTTAACGACATACTTAATAACATTATTAATCGACGATATAGCTAACTAGCCTTTAGCCCCTAGCTAGTAGCGAGACTTTAAGAAGCTACCTAAAACAGGCTCGCTACTCTATACTAAGAATAATAGCTAAAGGATAACCTCCTCGAGATTTACCGCCTATAGGAGACCCTAACAACTAATACTAAACTAATAGTAGGGCCTTCCTCGCTACCTGTTTAAAAGAAGGATGCTAAGCTTAAGGACTGTACCGTATTTAATAGCTCTAGCCGTAAGTAGTATAATAATCACATACGTAATTATAAATTAAACTAGCGGAATGCACTAAGGGCCCTGGGCAGCGCTGCCTGCTCGTTCCCCTTTTTTGGAATATTTTAT